CTAGACGATCCAGAGATTGGCATTATGAGCATTGATCAACGCAATTGGGATACAATGACATGCATGAGCCTGACCACCTGATCACGTAAGTCGGGTCTTGTGACAAGCATGTATTGCTGAAGACCAATTGTTACCCGGATCTTCACAGGTATAGAGCGTCTTTGAAAAGAAACAGTAAGTGTTGCATGATGGTCCTGCGTTTAGGTTTATTTTCTCGTCAGACCAAGATAGCTAACCACTGAGTGGACAAATAACATACCAGGCCCTTTAGTGGTCAGAACAGGAAAATATTGACATGTTGGCGAAGGTCATTTTCACACACTGCGGATCTGCATACAAACAAAACCCTACATTTGAATGGACTCTGTTTCTAGCCGTAACAACAGCTTTGTTAACCCGCTAGGATTAGGGGACAACTTGGGCCTCGGTCACAGTTTAGTTGAATCAAACATGTGGAAGGCTCCCAGACAATTTCTGGAAAAAAGGTTAGACCGGCCCTTGTTTCATTATATTGTACAACATGCCTGTCCTTTGTTAGAGGGTAGAACAGCTCCTTCCTTCAATGTAGGGTAGAACAGCCCTTTGCTAAAAATAGGTGCTATTTGCCCTTCATTGTAATAAAAGTAGATCAGCCTATTCATCAAAATGAGTTTTGACATCCACTACCAAATATGTATGGAATAACTGACTGTTTCTGTATATAGGCCATCTTTGACAATGAAGAGATGGCCTTTCAGTAGATATGAAAAGATGGCCTACTGGTGACAAGGAATAGATGGCCTTTCAGTAGATATGAAAAGATGATCTATTGGTGACAATGAATAGATGGCCTATCGGTAAATATGAAAAGATGGCCTTTTGGTGACAATGAATAGATGGCCTTTCAGTAGATATGAAAAGATGGCCTACTGGTGACAAGGAATAGATGGCCAATGAGACTATCTGTGACAATGACGAGATGACCCATTGTGTGTGACAGGGTCTGATGGTGGACTTTCTGCTGGCTGTTTGGTCCTTTCAATTATGCTGCCCCTGGGGTGATAATTACCACTGATAGGTCACTGCTGGCCATCTTGGTCAACACCCCAATGTTTGTGGACTTCTCTTGATGGTAAAGCTAATCTCTGTGTTAAGAGGTTGGGATCAAATGCTGGGTTTCATCGCTGCATCAATGTCAAAAGCAATGTCTTATGCAGATACAGGTGTCTTCGGGTTCTTACACTGTTGTCATTACTTTTTGGGAGGGCCTTGTAGGTTATTGAGTAGCCCAGTGGTCTAAGTGTTCACTAATCATGGGTTCGACAGCAGCTCTGTAGTCTGGGAGGCCCATATGTTCAGATAAATGCCCCCAAATATTATCCTTTTTTGTTACTTAGTAAATGTGAGTGAGTGAGTTGTGATTTAGTAACATCGGCAGCATGTCAGCCATATGGTAACTAGTAATAATAATGAATACATTTACAATCTATAAAACAACAAGATTATCACAGAATTTTATTTAAAACTAGCACGTAACCATAAAGAGAAATCACTAAACATAACAATACATTATTAAAACGGGCTGTAGATCACCAGCAACCAAAGTTAGGCCACCATACAAGGAACAATGGGGACTTCCGGCACCTCTGCTACCTGCATGGACCCCATCAGAATTTTTGAGGGTATCTATGCTACAGAACTTTCTTGAAGAAATAATCACCAGCATCCCAACATGAAACCATTTGATGGAATTGTACAAGACACACAGTGTATGCTGCATCATTTTCATGTCTGAGAAAATCTTTGAACAGAAGAGTATTATGGGTATATTTAATGTTTGGAACAGAAATTGTTCATTTCTTTAATTTCTCTTGCGATTAACAGGATGGGGGTGGTCAGACTCACTGACTTGGTTGATGCATGTCATCATATCCCAATTCATAGATCGATGCTCATGATGTCAATCTCATGATGCTCAAGGATTGAATAGCCCAGATTCGATTATTTACAGACCACCGTCATATTGCTGGAATATTGCTGAACACAAACAAGAAATCTTGAAGGCTTGAAATCTAGACCATGCCAACTCCTTAGGTCCTAAGTTAATCTAATATTAGAATTGGATCAATATTGAATTTTTCAAAATGAAGGATTTTATGTTTATCTTTGCTGTAGCAGTATTTCTGCATCTCGATGGCGGTTTCATCCAAATTGACAGAATTTCAAATGACAACCAGTACGACATATAAATATTTATGAAATGGAATAAAATGTTTGACTTTTATGAGGCTATTACGACAACCATTTGAAGATGAATAGATGATATTTACATGTACAATTCCTATGGTGAGCAATTGAGCTAAATATAGAAAGTTGGACTAGTTTATCTGATTTGTAATTTTTTTTGTATGTATAAAATGTTTCAAGGACTGATTGTTTGAATTTCTTTTTTTATTAGAATGAATGTCAGTAACTTGTAGAAATATATAATGTCATCGCCAGGGAATAATCAGTCTCGATTATCTGCCGAAACAGATTCCATTGGGCGTAAAAGACCAAACTGCAGTGAAAATTACATGAATGAATCACTGAAAATCAAGGGTAAAGTTATTTGAAGAATCTTGATTTTTATGAATACAAGGAAGATTCTATCCTTTCATTTGGCAACATAATTCCTAAAGCTTTGTCAACTAAACAAAAAAAACCCAGAAATATGACACTTTTATATCTTTTTAGCAACAAAGCACAAACAAATCTGGTCACAATCCCTCGAATCGGAGCACGTTTTAGATTTTCTTTCTTATTAAACAAGCAAGGGAATATGCTTTTAACAACAACACAAGGAAGTCAAGTTACACCAGTGTGGTAATTCTGTTAAAATGTTATTCCTGTCTGTTGTAAAGATTTTACATTTGATCTTTGTACGTGAGTCTTTGTGAAACAGTTTAAGTTGGCTGCTTGCCAGGAGAGCGACACAAGTTGATGTGTAATGTGTGTTGTCCTGTTCCATGGTGGAGAGCCTTGTTTTTGTCACCAGCTACTTATAAGCGGGACACAACAATGCCGCTTGCCAAGAGGGAGGGGGGAGGGAGGGGACTTCCCAGACTAGTCCACAGAGCATGCAGGACACTGTGACTGTTGAATATACCACTTATACCACAGTGTGTACTGATTAGTCTCTGAATCTGTTACTCTGTTACTGTTGAATATACCACTTATACCACAGTGTGTACTGAATACTCAGAATCCGTTACACTGTTACTGTTGTTTATACTGCTTATACCACAGTGTGTTCTCTCTAAATCTGTCACACTGTGACTGAGTCTAGTGGACTGTGACACAGGGCATTTGCAGCCTACGGAACGGAACTCTACACAAACTTGTGATAGTGGCACTGTAACCCAGGCTGATGCCACCTACAGAGAAGGTAGTACATGTACTACAAGCTTTAGATATCAGAGACTGTAAATGCTGGGTGGCAATGAAGCTGACAGAGCTAACGAGATGGGACAGAGGTCTGCTTCTGATGGGGAGCGGGGAGATTGTGGGGAATTCTTGACCTGTTCATTATGGCCCTATAAACCAGCAGTACTGGAAATCAGGCTAACTGATTCTGATGGAGTTTTGGTCCCTCTTTGGCAAGCTTGTAAATGGGAACATTATTTATGAATACTTGTTCAGTATTTGAGTAGGATTTGGATGGAAAGCTACATTACTACCAAGGCCATAATTGCCTCTTATTATGATTGACATAAGTGAACACTGTGGCTTAATGCAATAAACAAACAGCACAGGGAAATACTACAAATTTGATTCCGGCATGTCTTATTAAATGCTTAGAGATAAATATTCGTCTTCTGATCAGTCGGCAGAAGCAGGAGTTTATTGCAGTTACTGACCGATCCATATACCAAATATTTGGCCATTTAGAAGATTACAGCCTGGATAAATAGATAGTAAATCTTCTCCAATATTCTGAGATTGTCTTGTACTGACCAATCAGGTAACTTATTCATTTGCCTTGTTATTATGTTATTGATTTGTGATTCCAATACATGCACTGATATTTTCCTTAACAAGACAGGTTTAATGATTGAATTCTGCTTCAAGACACTGTAGAACCTAATCAAAAATGTTGGCCTGGTAGTCCTCTAATGACTAATATGATTTATTTAGAGTTTAAGTCCAGGCCTTTCTGTTATCTGATTACTCTAAAGAAACAATAAATTATAATATATATTATAAGTGTTTGTTTAAAGTAGGTCTTTCTTTAATATTTTTTTGTGAATCTTTTATTTCAAGAGTTTCATCTTTTGATAAAAATAAAACCCGTGAGGATCTGGGTTAGAAAAGGTCTTCAGCAACCCATGCTTTTTGTAAATGACGACTATGCTTGTCGTAAGAGGCGCTTAACATGATCGGGTGGCCAGGCTCACTGACTTGGTTGATGCATGTCATCGTATCCTAATTGCATGGATCGATGCTTATGATGTCAATCACTGGATTGTCTGGTCCAGACTCGATTATTTACAGACCCCCGTCATATGGTTGGAATATTGCTGAGTGCAGCATTAAGCAACAAACAACAAACAAATTTTTTTGAGTAAATAACCATATTATCTTCTAAAAATCTAGACAAGATTATATATTTTTTTGCAACATATCTCTTGGCATATTGGATATGAGATATGAGTACTGCTGTGCGGCAACAGGCAACAAACACTTAAAATGTGTGAGTGGTAGGTGCTACTGGAAGGACAACACATGCTCACCCTTTTGGTGAAGACCTAGAGTCATCACTGGTTTTCAGTGATCCATTCACAATCTTTTCATCACAGTTTTGCCTTTAAGGCCCAGTGGAATCTGTTTAGGCAGATAATTGACACTGATTTTCTCTGGCATTGATGTTTTATATGAAAGATTTTAGTCACAAATCAATAATCCCCAAATATGCAACTTTCTTAGCCTAGCCTACACATTTCAACGTGAAACAGCAAAGTCATATTTTCAATTTTTTTCAGAAAACATCTGTGAAGAAGCCATGTGTCCATAGTTTGAGCCGGCCCAAACTAGTGAAGATACGGGTAAGTGTACGATGTTGTAACGTAGAGGAGTTTGTGATGTAGCTGGTCCTCCAGTACAAAGGTTGTGACCTTGATCGACCATATTGGACATACTGTCTCATCTGTCTAGGCTCGACACTGCGTTAGCCTTTTGATGACAGCAGTGGGCGCGGGCATGCAAAGCATGTTTTGTACATGCCGAGTCCTGCTTGGGAGATTCTCAAATGCTGAAGACGCTTCAGGTAAACGCTTTCTGAAGATCCGCTGGAATATGAATATAATTGTTCCAATTGTCATGGTGAATTTTTGTCCTGCTCAGATGGTTGTCGATTTTAGGGGCCTGTTTTCCCTGTGGTATTTTTTGGTTGTGTGGTGAAAGATTTATTGTTCCATGTTAAATGTCAACATTTTGTTGTTGTCTTGATCCCGATCAAACAAATATGGTATCTGTACACTCATGGCAGCGAAGCTAGCCCTTGAAAATAGGATGGCATCCTTTGTGACGCTTTCCCATTATTCATAGAAAATAACTAGTGGCCAGGTGGCCATTATATAAACAGCTCCAGAGTCATTGTAGTCATTGTTGATGTTACACTCTGACTTGATGTGAAATGAAACTCCGCACCATACACAACATTCCTGTTTCATCGTTGTTCTGCTGTAGGGCAGTAGTATCAGTTGCCATGTTACAGTTGCCATGTTACAGTTGCCATGTTACAGTTGCCATGTTACAGTTGCCATACATACAGAGCTGATACTGGAGTGTAGGAGTTTGTAACTATATTTGAATAAAAGAAATTCCTCTGAGCTCATATTTTAATTTTTAAATAAAAGCAATTCCTCTGAGCTCACATGTAAGTAAAAGAGTTTGTAATTCCTTGTAGTAGAGCGCCAGTTGGCTTTCAAAGTCGTAAAGGCAGTTAAAATAGTTCTGGTGTTTGAAGGGCACTCTTAAATCATATCTTTTTTAGAAAAATACCTTGTAATGATATACATTATACAGAGCTGGTGATAAATGTTCTCTTGCAAAAGTAATCTGTGCAAACATTGGAGATTAGTTTATAAATATATCAGAGTAGTGCACTGTGGATTCATAAAGTACACCTGGAGATGAGAAACTGAACAGGATGTAAAGGGTCTCAATGAAAAGTAAGAAGACAGACTTTCTACATTGAAACCACTTATTATGTAGCTCATGGCGAAATGACATTCACTGAGTTGTAAGATAGATCACTAGTATTTAGGTTGCAAACCTAGACATTGTGTGAGTGCGCATTCGAAAACAAACACTTTTCTGTCCCTGGCGGTATTATTTTGAGATAAACAGGTGAAAGTTTCTTCATATCATCTAATCCATTAAATAATTAGATATGCAATATCAGATCAATTTGTGAACTTTTTTTAACTGTGTGATGTGGCTAAGTTTAACTCAATGTTAGGATCAGTCAAGAATCAATTATTTTTGAATTAGGAAATTACTTTCCATAGAAAGTATCTTACGATGCTGCTAATGAATTCTCCATTCAAGCAGCTTCAATAAAGATTGTTATTCTGGATTTGTAGCTGAAGAATTTGGTCATCAATATTTAGGTAGCTGTACTATAGTTACAGGTAGTGACTCTATGTTTGCTTTCTCCCTTAACGTAGCAAGACCTGGAATGATTTACACGCTAGTTGCCTGTTTTGTCATGTAACATCACCGATAATTGATTCCGCAGTGATCTGCGATTGTAACTGTTGGCGCTGAGCCAGGTGTCGCCTCAATTCATATGGATTTAGTGCTGTTGATGCTGCAGCGTCAAATACTGGCACTGTGCCAAGGTCAGTTATCCCTTAACATCGGAACACAAATAGTTTGAGACAGTGCTTGGTGGTCGCTGGTTGTTCAAAATCACAATTTTTAAAATCAACAATGTCATATTTTCTTTCTTTGTAATGTATAGGATGGATTCACAACGAGATTCCATTACAAAGTTAAGACATCCCTTGTGTTTGAATTGTACAATTATGAACACAGATTTTACTGATTTGGAGAGTAAATTTTACAGGTATTATTCGTAGTGTTTGATAGTGGTTTACTGGAGGATGTAATTTGAAAATAATCCATTCCGGTGCTCTTGCTGTGCACATGGGGGACAAACGTTTCATCAGCCTAACAAGGTTGGACGGTGGACCATTTCTCCCACAAAGAGGTTGTCGGCCATAAACTCCCAGCTCTTTCATACTGATGTGCTGCCTGAGTTTGGAATATTGAAAGGACACTGTCCCTATTCATGACTGATGGGGGCGTCCTCATCAAACACCATTGCATCGGTGTTTTCATGGAGGTGTTTAGCCAAGACTTCTTATTGTGTAAGGTAAAGCTGAGGATAGAAAGTAGCTAATTAAAGCTCTCGGGCTTGCATACTGGGGTAATATTCTGTTACGTGGTTTCAGCGCCCCCTAGTGTGCCAGCTTCAAAGGGGAGAATGAATGGGCTGCAACCACACTCCTAATGTAATAGACACATGGCTGGCCCATCGTACCAGCTGCCGTACCCTCTATTCAAGTTTCTGTCTCCATCAAACCCACTTTTTAAAAATTAAGTTTATGGGGAGGTGATATAGAAGGGAGCTTGTGTTATGTGTTGAAATGCAAGGTTTTCCATGGCTGTCAGGAGGGCAGTCCGCCTCTCCATTCCGTCACTGCACTTTAAGTTGTCAGGGCTAATGTTATGGTAATGGCCCTCTGTACGAGGGTAGATGCTATACACGTTTACACCGGCAGCTGATACTCAATGGTTTGGAATTACAAGTATTGAGAATCGGTCTTTATACTTTAAACCTTTAATAAGCATAAACCTGAGTGATTGAAACGACCACCCATTGGGGCAGAAGAGATGATAAAGCTTTCAGGTTGGAATTAATAGAAATATGGGGAAATACAACTTGTTGCTGTCGCTTTTTTGTTTTGTTATCTTGGGGAATATTTGATATTTTTTTCTTTTAAGTAAACCATGAAAGCTGGTGACTTTACAAGGCGTAGTGATGATAAGGACATTGGGTGAGTGTTTGCCCCAGGATCAGAGGACTTCCATATCCAATCTTGCTGTTTTCAGACAGCAGATTTACAAACAATCAGTAATGATTGTATCATGACAAACATGCACCAAATATGGTTGGAATTGCTGGAGGTCGCTTCACAGTTGCATGATAGTACAGACACAAGTACTGTGCCATGAACCCAGCTCAAGAAAGCGGAAATATTGTGCCAAGCAAATCACATGTGCACCACCCCGGAGCCCTTTGTTATGTTGACTTTGGCTCCTTGTTTGCTGTGAGGTCTCTCTTCCAAATCAAGCAGCCATCTTGGAAATGACAGCATGTCCACCGGTCACAATGAGTCTAGGTGCATGGACTGAGTCTATTACAAGTCTTTGAGGGTGTATTTTGGGCTATAGGTCTAATGTTTGTTGATTGGCTTGATGAGAAACGTATTGGCAAAATAAAAGGCTGTGTTGACATGGTGATTACTGCCACGTGAAGGACGATGGTGGGTTCCTGACCCCAAGAGGAGTTTCTGGTACATACTAGTTATGGAAGGCGCAGCCCAGACTCAACATGGCATTGCTGGGCTGGGCCAGTGTGTCTTGCCAATCACTACCCGATTGGACAAAAGCCTTCCAAGAAAGCCTCAATTGTGTCTTGAAAATGTGCAATATTATTTAAAGTTATACAAATAATATTTTCTGTTCTATGTGTGATTATCTTCTAATAGGCACAAAGCTATGCAATTAAAACATATCTAAAGAGTATCTATTTTTGTGTTATGAGAATTTGTGCAGTTACTAACATGACTGTTTACGATGCATTCTGCATCAGATTCACCCATTCTCCTTACCCATGTCTTCATTTTTTACGGGGTAAGGCGATAACTAAGTGGGTAGTGTAGTTGCTTGTCTCTCCTCAGGTACAGTTTGTGAGGTTAACTTGCCAGATGTGCCTGCATTGTTTGCTAGAAGCAATATAACACCCTTCAAGATCTGGGCCCACGTGCACAAAGTGTTCTTAGCGCTATGTTGATCGTATCTCCAATACTTTAACACAGGCTTACGATAGTCGCAGTGCTAATATCGTCGCAGTGCTAAGATCACTCATTTCTTGAAAACCCGGTCTCCTACACTTCTAGGGTGGGACCCTCCTATCATTAACTATCTTTACATTATCCCCCATTACACCCCTTAAGCCACATCCACCCCCTAAGCCACATCCACCCCTAAGCAATATACCCACCATCCTAAGCAATATACCCACCACCCTAAGGGACGTCATGATGAACATAAGAAGCTAATATCCTTGAAGAAAAAGCAATAACCGTGGAACTAATTGTAGAAAAGTCAGCCTTTTCTTGACATCTAATGAAAGTACACAGTAGTTGTGTATGTCTTCCTTCCTAGGGTCTTATTAAGGAGGTATGTATGGATTTGTGTGGAAATGTCAGAATGAATGTGTGTGCGTGTCTTTGTGTGTGTGCGTGTGCATATACCCTAATCAGACACGCTTCTTTCAATACGTTGTTGTTATCATTTCAGAAGCATGACAATAAGTTTAATTTGGCGTGAATGTCAAATATGAAAGTAAGCATTAAGCAGGGAAAGAAGTATATACAGCTTCAAATGAATCTGAAGTACTTATTATAGATAACCCAAGGTCATAACATACTATTTTGTATTGATACTTTGTGTTGTTATCCTGACTTATGTATCTGTTTATATAGTTTATAGAATGTTGCCACTGTTTCTACTTGGAATGTATAGATGAATATAATCTTGTTTCTTGTATCTCAGGGTAACCTCCATTGCAGGAGTAGTATTTAGTGTGAGGTGTTCTTAATGTAACCTCCACTGCCCAGCTCATGGTGGGTTCCAGATGTGATCAGGAAAACCTACACATACATGCATGCATGCATCGGTGTCAGCATTTAGCTGCTTCCTGTAAAAAGAAAAAATGTTTTTTTTTGTATTTTTTCCTTGTAAATATTTG